GAAACACACAGCAGCTGTTCGGGCTCCTCCTGGGTCGGACAAAGTCGGCAACCGGCCAAGTGAACCATGGCAGAGGCCCCAAGTGGCGCCGGGAGGGCTTGGGGTTCAGCTTGAAGGGCTCGGGGTTTTGGGTTAATTAAGGGTTAAGGGTTTAGGGTTTAGGGTTTCGGGCTCAGGGTTTAGGGTTGAGGGTTTAGGGTTTAGTGCTCAAGGTTTAGGAGTTTAGGGTTCAGGGTTTAGGGTTTAGGGTTTAGGGCTCAGGGTTCTGGGTCTGAGTGTTTATTGTTGGGGATTTGTTTGGGATTCAGGGTCTCGGGTTTGGGATTTATCTAAAATCAAAAGGGTTTGGGATTCAGGGCTTGGGGATTCGGGCTGTTTAGGATTTTCCGGCGAAGGGTTTAGGGAAGTCTTGGATGTATGGTTGGGGGTTTAGGGCCAGGCCAGGGGGCGTTTAGGGTATAGGGTTTAGGGGTTTAGGGGTTTAGGGTTTTAGGGGTTTAGGGGTTTAGGGGTTTAGGGGTTTAGGGGTTTAGGGTTAGAGTTTGTGTTGTTGAGGGTTTGGGCTCTAGGGTTTACGGTTTTAGGGTTTTAGGCTGAGGTTTGGGTCCAGGGTTTTCGGCTCAGGGGTTTACCGTTAGGAGCCCCCGGGGAGCCCCTTTGCCCTCTGAAAGAGTTGGGGGTTTACGTAGGAGAGCATGAATGATAAAACACGGCCTCGGAGTAGCTGACATGGGTTAAGAAATTAAGCTTCCGGGCTGCATGCTTCGGTTTGAGATTCCCCTAAACCCTAAACCCTAAACCCTAAACCGACCAGACACAGAAACAAGTGCAGATCCGGGAGACCTTAAGCCAAAGACTGTTCACTAAACAGGGATCGAGGGGGAACCCAGAAAGCCCAATACCCCTTAAATAAGGAAAATACCTTAAGTTATAGGGGCCTTAATACTACAATTTAAGGTATATTCCTGGGTATTTGGTTCCCAGTGCAAACTAGAACCCAGCGTCTCAGTGCACGTTTCTGCCTGGGGTGGCCTATAATAAAGGGATCTGCAGAGAAACCCAAGGGGGTCACAGAAGATATCCGACGCTCTGAACCTTTCCCCCCAAACCGGTTCTCCTAATGTAGGAGCCTAAATCATTACCAGTATTATTTTGGGGAGTTCTTTATTATAATTATAGTATAATGGGCCCCAAAACCCCATTCTAATTATTAAGGCCCCTACATTAGGTGCTGCATGTCGTAGAATCTCGAGCCTTCTCGTGCAGAAAGTCGGATGCTCGAAGTCCACAACTTCGCGCATCCGACTGCCTGGAAGAAAAAGTTCCAGCCGTCATTCCTACCAGGTTTGGAGTTTGGGGTTTAGGGTTTAGGGTTTAGGGTTTAGGGCTTTAGGGTTTTTTAGGGTTTAGGGTTTAGGGTTTAGGAGTTTAGGGTTTAGGGTTTAGGGTTTCCTCAAGCTCTAGCCTCAAAGCCCGAAATCCCACAGACCCTGATGCCCCTTACTTACGCAATTTGCTTGGAACCATGGTATCATGACTCAGGTCGCTTGAGGAATGTTCCTGAAGTAAGGGGCATGGGGATGTTAATCGGCGAGTCTCCGTTAAAACCCAAACCCCAAGCCCGAACACCGTTAACACCCAAACCCCAAACCCGAACACCGTTAACACCCAAACCCCGAACCCGAACACCGTTAAAACCCAAACTCCCAAACCCGAACCTTAAACCCCAATCTCTAAACTCAAAACCGAAACCCCTGAACCCTAAACCCCTAAACCCTAAACCCTAAACCCTAAACCCTAAACCCTGAACCCTAAACCCTAAACCCTAAACCCTAAACCCTAAACCCTAAACCCGAACTTGTACTCGCTTCCCTTTTGCAGGAGGAAGCTGCGGAACTGCTAATCGAGCGACCTGCTTGCATCAAAAGTTTCGGGCTTGGGGATGAGGGCTGAGGGCTTATAGGGTTTGGGTTTAGGGTTTAGGGTTTAGGGTTTAGGGTTTAGGGTTTAGGGTTTAGGAGGGTTGGGGGTTTATAGGGTTTAGGGCTTATGGGGCTTAGGGTCTATAGGGTTTGGGGTTTATAGGGTTAAGGGCTTCTAGGGTTTTGTGCTGTAAGGGTTTCAGAGCATGGGCTTTTTATTACTACTGTTTTTATTGTTACTGTGATTGTTATTCTTCCTCCAATTCATTCCTATTAAAACTCGTGTCATTCGTCTTATTGTTCTTGTTGCATTTACACTGTTATTGTTATCGCTCTCGTTACCGTTACTGTACTCTTGCTCTTACGCTTATTCGTAGTCTTATTCTTCTTCTTAGACTTATTCGTAACTAATGATTCTTATTGTTATTATTATTATTATTACTACTCTAGGGTGTAAACCCTAAACCCTAAACCCTAGAGCGTGTAGGAGTGAGAGAGAGAGAGAGAGAGAGAGAGAGTGAGCTCGGGGCTGTCATCAGCAACAGGATCATCCTTGCCGTCGTCACAGCAGTCGTCGTCGTCCTCCTCGTGCACTAGCTAGTAGTAGCAGCAGAAGTAGTAGCATTCGTAGTCGTCGTCGTGTTCGCAGTGGGCACGGCAACAACATTACTTGTAGTTACAGCAGCATTCAGTCATAGTTGTCGCCCTATTCTTCACAGAAACAAATACTGTTCTATATACTCCTGGTACGCCTAGTAGTGATAGCATTGGGATAATACGGTTGATGTTATAAATCCGGCATTACCTTAAGAACCCAAAAACCGTGGGAATTATGGTATGTTCGGGTAATGCAGGATTTATATCATCAACAGTACCAAGCCCTAAATCCTATACCGCAATACTTTTACAGCCCGGTCCCTAAGGAAATAGGTCCGTGAGTGCTTCAGCTGTTTTTGAGCGTTGGTCATATAGGGAGCCAGAAAGCTCCTCGACTCATTTACATGGGTTTAGGGTGTTGGGTTTAGGGTTTAGAGTATACATAATTAGCCTATACGTGTCACCCAAAAACCTAATCTAATCAATCAGGCTCCAACATAAAAGGCCCTATGCTAACTCATGAAGCCAGTGAAACGAGCTCTGATAGAGCCTGAACGGAACCGTGTTCGAATCATTAAGGCCCCCCCCTGTCGAAGGCACTGCCCGTCCATGTTTTGTCACCTTTCTCCTAGTCGTAGGTCCTAAACCCTAAACCAAGAAAACCCTAAACCCTAGGACGCTGAAACTCAAGCCCGCCACCTAAACGCTAAACCCTAAACCCTAAACCCTAAACCCAAAACCCAAAACCCTAAACCCTAACCCTAAAGCCTAAACGCCAGACCTGTTTAGGGGCAAAGGGTAGAGGCCTCAAGGATTCAGGGCTTCGGGTTGAGACCTAAGATTTAGACCTCCAGTTGCTTGGCTTAGGGTTGAGACCTGAAGGCATTTAGATTTGAGCCCTAAACCCTAAACCCTAAACCCTAAATCCTAAACGCTACACCCTATATCCTCAACCCTAAATTCTAAACGCCAAACCCTAAACCCTAAATCCTAAACCCTAAACCCTAAACCCTCAACCCTAAACCCTAAACCCTAAACCCTAAACCCTAACTTGGAGGCCGTAAGGTTTCTGGCTTCCGGGTTCTAAGTCCCAGATGCCCGGACCGCACGAGGCGTGAGACCGAGAGCCAGAAGGATCAGCAGATCCTCCTCTGAAAATGGCCGTGGGTTTAGGGCGGTTTAGGGTTTAGGGTTTAGAGTTTGAAGTTTAGGGTTTAGGGTTTAGGGCTTCACGGGTACTTTGCTTTCTCTTAGGGATTTTTTTGGGCATGGGGTCCTCAAAGCTTTAATGTGTGTGGTTAGGATAGCTTCAGACTGATTGCGTCCAGGTCACGATTTCGGCATGTGGTTTCGCTTGGGAGGGGGTGCAGAGCATCTACTAGATTTTCCAAAATGTGTGGAGGAGATGTTATGGTGCGGCGACTTGGTTTAGAGTCGCCAAATCCGTGGACCCCAACCCCCCAACTTCTTATGAAGCCACCGGAGAGCACCTTACTAGCATCATGCAGGCATCGAAAACTCCATGAATAATGTAATATTAGGCTCGGAATAGTTAGCGGTACTATTTTACTTTTCCTTGGTTAGGGTTCGCCGTTATCGTTATACCATAGTACACCCCCAAACCCACCATTGCACTTCTTTGAAAACTGTGAGTAAAGAAACTGGCTTTGGGGTTTAGGGTTTCGGTTTGGTTTGGTTTGGGAGTTAGGGTCTAATGGAGGGGCCTTAATAATTGGAATAGGGCTTTGGGGTCCCTTTACAGGGTTCCTTAAAGGGTTCCTTAAGGGCTACAATAAGGGGTCTAATGTCGGGGCCTTAATAATCAGAAAAGGGTTTTGGTGTACATTATACTATAACTACAATAAGGAAGCCCCCCAAAATAGTAGAGGTAATTAGAAATGAAGGCCCCTATATTGGGTTTCCACGTGTTTTGAGGTTTGGGGTGTGGAGGCCTGAGGGCGTCTAGGAGACCCCACACCTTGAACAACAACCGCCCCAAACCTAAACGCTAAACCCTGAACCCCAAGTCCTTTACCCTAAACCCTAAACCCTAAACCCCTAAACCCCTAAACCCTAAACCCTAAACCCCTCAACCCTAAACCCTAAACCCTAAACCGCTGAACCCTAAAGCACTAAAGCCTAAATGAACGCTAGGAGCCCAAAGTTTCAAGCCATGGGTCCACCTCCCCGAACCCTAAACCCTAAACTCTAAACTCTACAACCCTACAACCCTAAGCCCTAGAGTGAAAGCCAGAAAGTTGGAACATCCATGTCCTCCTGCCGTTAAGGTAAAGCATAGGGAATCCTAGCGCTAATCATCCTAATGTAGGGGCCGTCATAATTAGAATAGGGTCTGGGGGGGGGTTCCTTATTATAAGTCTGGTGTAGTGGGCTCCCAAAGCCTACTCTAACTATTAAGGCCCCTACATTAAATCCCTGTTCCCTAAACCCTAAACCCTAAACACTGTCCGAGCAGCCCAGGGGCTTGGTGGAGACTTTCAAGCACTTCTTCAACCGAGGTCCAAATCTTCGCGTTGGGTTTATGGGTTTAGGGGTTCAGGGTTTTGGGGTTTAGGGTTTAGGGGTTTAGGGGTTTAGGGGTTTAGGGGTTTAGGGGTTTAGGGGTTTAGGGTTTGGGGTTGAGGGGTTTAAAGGTTTGGGGTTTCGGGTTTAGTGACCGAGGGCAGAGGGCGATACTGTTTAGCTGGGATTGGTAGGGTTCTAGTACGGGAGTGCAACCGCAGTAATTCGGGATTTGTACCGTTTTGGAGCGAGTTTAGGGTTTAGGGTTTAGGGTTTAGGGTTCTGCGAACCACGTTGTTGCAGGATTGGGCAATCAGGAGCCTCAACCTTAAACCCGAAACCCTAAAGCCTACACCCTAAACCCTGAACCCTAAGCTAAATCCTAAACCCTAAACCCCTAAACCCTAACCTTAAGTCCTAAACCACCCAAAGACTTTAAGGGAACGCCCAATGGGAATGTTTAGAGGAGCTAGCAAGCCCAGGAAGTGCAAACACGGTTTCGGCTTTCAACCCACGACCCTGAGCCCGAACCCCATAGTATAATATAGGGCCTTAATAATTACCTATAGTGTGTTTGGCGGTTGGTTCCTTATTATAATTTTGGTATGATGACTATATTCTACTTATTCAGGCCCATACATTAGGGGCTTCAATACTTAAAAAAATGGTCTTAGGTTTTCTGAAGCACAACTATACAGGGACTGTAAGGGATTGTTATTTCTAATTCTCCCGGCCATACTGTTGATGGACAAAATTCTGCATGACCCAAAAATAGTATAGCACCATAAATCCCATAGTTTAGGTATATAAGGTCATGCAGGATTTTGTCCATCAGCCGTATCACCAGCCCCGTCTTCTCCCCGTGGAGGCCACAACGGCCGTGTCACCTGCGTGGATGCTTCAGCGGCAGCAGACTTCATCGTCAGCGGGGGCGTGGACTACACCGTGAGGCCTTCTGGGTAGACAGGATGCAGATTTCTTGCTGAAAGAAGGGTTTAGGGTTCAGGGTTAATTGTCGATTCAGCGTTCAGGGTCGAGGGTGCACGGTTTGGGATAGGATGAGTGATAGCAGATGAGTCATGCCACCCTGAAGCAGGCAGAGGAGTTTCGATCACTTACTGTCGTGACGCGACTGGTGTGATTCACTTGGAGAGATACAAGGGAAACCCTAAACCCTAAACCCTAAGCTGCAGTCATTTGGATTTCCGAAGACTTATGGCTATCTCATGAAGGGGGCTGTATGACAAGGATCCTACTGATCAGGGTTTAGGGTTTAGGGTTTAGAGCACCCACTAAGCCCTAAACCCTAAACCTTAAACCCTAAACCCTGAACCCTAAACCCTTAACCTTAATGTTTGCCCCTGTAATTCCATTTCACCGGCCCTTGTCGAGGGCTCCCATTCTCGGGTTCCGAAATGCTAAGCCCGAATCTGACAGCCCCATGTAGGAGCCTAAATAATTACCTCTACTATTTTGGGGGGTTCATTATTATTATTATTATTAGTATAGTATACTATGCCCCAAAACCCTGTTCTAATCATTATAGCCCCTACAGTACACCCTAAACCCTAACCCTTTGGCCCGAAACTACAAAGCCTTGCCGACCAGATGCAAAGGTCGTCGCAGTAGTGGCAGTGGTAGCACGAGGTGCAAGAGGCTAAGAAGCAAGCAGCGACAAGAGCAACAGCAGGAGGAAAAGCAGGAGTGGCAGTAAGCAAGAGTGCGAGTGGCAGCAGTCGCAGCACCTCCAGAGAAACCTCAAGCACCTGCTACTGCGTTGTTTTCGATTCATCCAGCATTGAGGTAGTTGTCAAACAAAGCGTCAGATTGGCATCCGCTTTGGGTCACCGCAAGGGTGCGCCAGACGTGTGATGGGAGCCTTCCAGTAAGCAAGACCTGGATAGCAGTTTTGTTGAGCAAAGCCCTCGTTGCAGGGTATGGAAGTACGACATCGTCCATTCCTCCTACGTGGCCGGGTTGCATCCAAGGGGGTGTGTGAAGGCTTTGGAGATGCTTTGGGGTGTGGGTTTTGAAGTCCCGGGTTGAGGGCCGTTGAAGCCCAAAAGCCCCGAAAACCACAAAACTCCAAAGCCCAAAACCATAGAGTCGGGTAGGATGGTTCGGATCTGGGCCTTTGGGGGGAGGGTCTCATATCGGAGCCTTTTTCATCAGGCCGGGCCGTAGGGGTGTATGATACCGTCACGAATATATTCGGAACCCTCACGAAGATGATATTCATTCTTAAACCCTAAACCCTAAACCCTAAACCCTAAAACCTAAACCCTAAACCCTAAACCCTAAACCCTAAGGTCAACTGTACAGGCCTCCATACGATTGTAGGGGCGGACGATTCTATGTCACAGTGTTCGGATCAGGGCTTGACGGTTCCGGGTTCATTCAGGGGTTTAGGGTTTAGCATTTAGGGTTTAGGGTACTACCCTAAACCCTAAACCCTAAACCCTAAAAGCCAGAATAGTGATCTTCTAGTCACGTTCTACTTATGTTGTACTCTGCCCTAAGGAGGGGTCGGAAAGTGACAGACGCAGTCTCTGATTGGCTAGACTTAAGCTTGAGGGTTTAGGGTTTAGGGCATTTTAGGGTTTAGGGTTCCGTAAACCCTAAACCCTCAGCCCTAAACCCTAAACCCTAAACCCTAAACCCTAAAACCTAAGCCCTAAACCCTAAACCCTGAACCCTACACTCTAGAAGCTAAGCCCCGCATGTCGCAAGGATCTCTTTGCCATCCTGGAGCAAACCCCGCCGGTGCCGCTCAAGGAGTGCTCTTCTGAGCTGCAAACCCCCAAACTCCAAAGTCTAAACCCCCCTAAACCCTATGCCCTAAACCCTAAACCCCCTAAAAACCTAAACCCTAAACCCTAAATCTTAAACCCTAAACCCTAAACCCCGATCCCCTAAACCCTTCTACATCCTGCACCAGGTTATGTGGCTCAAAACAGCGGTGTCTTTATGGCATGTTTTGATTCCCGGAGCCATAAAGGTCGTTCTCTAAATTAGGGTCCTGTTGAGGGCCCCCTTTCATAAGGCTGCTGTTCTATTTTTGGTCTTAAAAGGGACCCTTACTGCAGAACCACCCACAAGGACCTCTGCGGGGGTTAACAAACGCACAGAATGAGCATCCGAGAGCGAAGAAGCTGTGAAGTGTTGGATCGTGGTAGAAGTTTCGAAGGGTGGAAGAGGTTCTACAAAAACATGGCATTCGTTTAAGAAGGTCACTGGAGCGCGTGCGAAGTCTCCAAGGCTCTAGCATGAAGACATCCCTACGCTCAACACCCTAAACTCTCAACCCTACACCCGCTGAGCTCCAAACCCCAGGCCCTAATCATCAGCTCTCTTTCCTTAACGCAGTCGAAGCCGTGAGCAAGGGGTGCAGCGTGACGGTGGTCGTGATGGTGCGGATGGGGAAGGGGAGCGAGTGCTGTGCAAGGTTCCTCTGTTGTTGCATGTGCGCTCGCTGTCCAAAACGGACGAGCGGTGCAGGCCCTTGCGTTGAATGAACAGCATTGAATAAAGAAGCGCCTTCGCTGGCGATCAAAAGTCCTGTCTTGACTTGTGCACGGATCGTGACGTTGTGGGCATACCCGAAGGTCATGATTCTCCAACGTGGACGGCAAGGAATGGCAAACCTTCATTGATGAGGGAGACACTGGTGCCAGCATCACCGAAGTCGACGGTTTTCTGTCCCAGCTTCATGCACCTGTCGGCAATGCCAGTGTTGGGGCCAGCGCTCGTGCGGAAGCCATGCCGTTTTCGGGTTGTGGGCTCATGGTTGAGGGCTGAGGTTCACCATTCAACCTCAAACACTAAACCCCAAGCCCAAAACCCAAAANNNTAAACCCTAAACCCTAAGCCATGCTTTTTCAAGGAGCGCCTTTTCTTAGAAGGCTCTCAGAGCCTCGCCTCATGGCCTTCATGGCCTTAAACCCCTGAGTAACTCCGTCATCAGACACGTGAAGACCCGAATCTTAAGCCATGATTAATACAGCGGCCTAAATAATTGTCAATACTTTTTTGGAGGGTTCCTTATTATATATATATAT